CTCCTCGGCGAGAATTTGCTTTTGACGGTACGTCTGGCAAGACTGACCTGGGGGGAGGGTGGAAACAGTAAAAATAAAACTGTTTAAAAAGGGACTGACTGCCTCTCTGTGGGTATAGAGCGGGGCTGATGGAAGGCCTATGAAGCTTCCTGCTTGGGGAGATAAGTGATGAGCAGGCTCAGAACTGATTGGGTTTTCTTGTGCTCTAGTGTAAACTTACGGGGTTTGGTGACTATTTCAAAAAGAAATCTGTTTTTCCAGAACGAGTGTTGTTCTTCTATTGGCAAAGTGGTGACACTTAACAGCAAATGTGCTGTTTGAATATCTAGTCAGAAGTGAATTCCCAGCAAATCAACTTAGAAGCAGGCTTTGCCAAAACAAGTGCATGTTCATTCAGCATATCTTGAAAATGGTGTTGCAGTAACAGCATTTCACAACACAGCCTTCAGTGTCAATGGACTGTACATGTATTAAAGCATTACTATAGTCAAAACGTTGGTCCACGAGGTGCCTTTTTTACCGGGGTGGAAACAAAATGAGCTCTTTATCACAGAATGAGCTACATGACCAGTAACTATAGGACAATATTTTGTACACGAAAAAACAAAGCCTTCAGCACATCAGTTCTGATGAATGAAAAGTGCATTTTGGTGTTTCTCAGAACTGAGACTGGAAACTCCAGTTCATAATTGACTTTGGTGTTACTGGTTTTGACTCAATAAAGAAATATATTTCATAGCATATAAATTTGTCTGTGCTAATTTCTGCATGTTCCATTGTCAGCGCTGTAGCTTTATCTTTCTTCTGCATGGCTCAGTGACCATATTATGTCTTCCATGGCTCTGCTTTTTTATTATTATTACATTTTCATATTGATAACACAAGTGTTGCATCTATACTCACCATTGACTTTGCTGCATTGTTTCCAGACTGGAAAGTGGGCTTCAATGTGCTAAAGCTTTTCTGCTTCATGTTCCACCTGTAACAGTCAGTCTAATCCCTTGCTAACATCCAACACCATTCTATGCAAATCGATTCTATACTTATAGCTTTAAGGAACTGGATTTGAAGTTTCAGAATTGCTTGTCTTTCATGTCAGTGTTCAATTTCAGTCACTGGTGATTTAGAACAATATGGAAAAGTTTGTAGGTGCTAAATATGTTTATTTCATAAACACCTAGGTCCTCAGTACCATCCAGGCATGTCACAAAATGAAGCACGTGAAAGCTGTCATCTTTGGCAATCTATGTGAACAAAGGAGGAACAAAAATCAAGGCTCTGTTGGCTCTGAATATCTCTTCTGTGAGTAACTGAAAGATGCAGTCATTAAGACATCATGATAAATCTTTGTCTGGAAAGGCCTGATTTAAAGTACCTTTTAATTTTTCCTTATTATTTGCTTATCTGATTTTTTGGTTTTCATCTAACATGGAAATTACATTTCTTCCTAGCAGCACTAAATTACACAAAATATTTAGATAATTAACTATGTGAACTATTTATGCAACTAATGTAGCCTATCTCGTGGGAAATACCAAAGTTGTTAAGAGTGCTTTCCACTACTTTGCAAATTTACAGAAAAATCTATTAAGTTCAACATACTTCTAATCATGACTGAATTGTGATTCACAAGGCTATTAAGTTTCTTAAAGAAAAGGTTATTCTGGATTGAGTTGACTGGGTAAGAATGTTGTAGGAAACTTGGATTTCCAAAAAGCTTTTGAGAAGGTTATTTACCAAAGGCTTTTAAGAAAGCAAGTCTCTTCTGGAAATGGAGAAAAAAGTCATTTAATAGCTCACTAAGTGGTTAAATGATAGGGTAGAAGGTATTACCTTACAGTGAAAGTAGAGAAGATTTTCTGCTGTTCAACACTGATTGGTGGTTTGAAAGAATGGGTTAAACAGCAAGGGACAATGTTTGCACGTTCATTCTATGGACATATTGAGAGCAGTCCAAGGGTTGCAGAAGTGTGTCATTGGATGGAGTAATCAGGTGGGAGTTAAGAAATGGTGTTAATAAATGCAAAGTAATATGCATCATAGGCGCTAAAGTGGCAGTTACCCCTTGGAAAAAGAGATGTGTCACCCTAAATGCATTTAATTGACTCTTTAGAGCAACCAGGTAGGCAAATGAGAAGTTAGGAGTCATTATGAATATTGAAGGCCACAGCAAATAATCTTTGGCTTTATATGGCTGCTCAGAGTAATCTCAATCTTAGAAGAAGCATGGAAAAGGGACAAGCTGTAGAAGCTACTAGAACGATTTGGAAA